AAAAAACACTGAAAACATGAACATCCGTTTGGACTGGTTACCATTTTGAAAATATCAACTTTTCCTCTGAGCTTTTTTGACAAAAAGTGATCTATCAACAAGACTAACCATATCCCTAATTCGCAAACAGAGTTTGCACAGAAAAAAATCAGTTCTTCTTTCTAACGTGTACGATTAATATATTGTGAAATGTTTTAATTTTATTACGTCGCCTTCGTAACGTCACGTCATTGTTTAGCCGTTGTGATGTCACGTCACGTGAAATGGAGTGTAAGATATAAATGTGTTACACCCCATCCTTACCCTGGACAGCGCTATCTAACATGCAAAGAAATGAGAGGAAAAAACACAATCTTAATAATGCAAATGATAAAAAAATGTGAGATAATCATAACTGACTGTAATGCATCCTTTGGTCCTCCCTGTAGACAAATGAAGAGCGACAGATCCATCAGTTTCACTTTACGAAATGGCTTGACCATGGAACTCCGGACGAGATGGAGCTCGTCCTCTTCGTCCGTCGTGTGACGACATACAGAACACACCTGACGGGACAGATGATTGTACACTGCAGGTAAAATAACTTGTTGAATGTATTTTAGTCTTTTCAAGATATACTTTCAAAGTCTTTTTGCTATATATATATAAACAAAACACATGACAAGAGTTTCTTAGCACCCCTAGCTCTTTCACTTATTTAAAGGTTCATCAGGGGAACTGTTTATTTATGTTGATAGGACAACACAGAAAGTGATGACGTCATAGTACAGTATGACATCGGTGCATCTTATATTTTCTATACATATACATATGTATTGTCATTACAACGCTGGTTCAATGTGATTATTTCGATTGTTCCCTTGACGGACATTAATCAAAAGTGAAAATATAAGTATTACAGTTAATTGAACTCGAGGCCAATCATCCTGTCCCCTTAAACTTAATCTGTTCTGCTGTATCGAGGTTAGAAACCAAATAATTCGACCCGTTTTCGTCTATGTTTTTGTAAAATGTCGGCAGTGAAACATCCCTCTGAATACGTGGAACATATGCTTTGATATGCTATTCATTTTATTCATAAGCTTCGGTGTTCTGTTGGTGAATTTGGTTGGCTTTAATACTAATTGAAAATCATGAAATGTTGCCGAAACAATCATAATCGACGAAACATGGTCAAACTGTGTAAAATGGGACGTGATCAACACAATATTACAAAGACAATAGGAACAAGGGTTTCCGGTTAGCGTGTTCTGCTTCATCTGCTACTCTTGTCAGGGTCACGGAATCATAAATATAATAACAATTATAATACAAATCATTCGAGGTTCGTATATACCGTTTTATCACAACCTACTTCATAGGTCGTATCAAAGCGGTTCACACACTATTATACATGGTTATCGGGACTTTACAGCGAGACAATATCTTTATAAACCCTGGAGAGCATACAGCCGGTGCTGCCATTTCGGTGCTCACAGCTAGCATTCAACTATTCCAGCACTACCCAACCACGTACTCATTTACAGATGAGTAGACTGGAACAAGCAGAGTGAAATATCGTATTCAAGGATACAACACAGCGCCGTGACGTGACTCGAACCGGCAACCCTCCAATGTTGCTTAAGGTGTACAATAAAAAAACGTCGATATACACAACAAACAAGGAATAATCGCATTGCAAACCAAACATCTCTCAAAACATTGTGCTGTTCTTCTTTCAGAATTTGACATTTATTATGGACATTCCGATAAACAGTGAAAGATCGTGAATATCAAAATGTTAGAGACGTATCAAGGACTATTACCCCTTTGAGAAAAATTTAGTAATCTGATTGGTTAAAAACTACAGTGTACCAAACCGCATTCGTAAATTTCAGGGGTTATACGAAAATATCAGGGTGTATACGGTCATGTCACGTGATTCTCAGCAGTAATACGGTGGAATCACGTGATTTTACAAGGGGTATACGGGTCACGTATCTTTGTATCTTCCGGCTGGGCAACGGGATACAACTTGCATTTGTCGTCTGTTTCGCTGGATGCAAAATGGCAAAACGTTTCGCTTCACACACTGATGAGGAAATACTCGCCAAAAGGGCTAACTATGTGCCACAAAACACACACAAGTCCAACAGACGAGCGGCAAACATGCTGCAGACATACTTAAAAGAAAAGAATCAGGAAGAACAGTTCGAGGAATTTGATGAAATAAAACCAAATGAGGTACTGTGCCATTTTTATCTTGACAACTGAAAAGTTGACGGGAAACTGTACAAAACCAGCTTTTTGGAAAACTTTAGACATGCAATCAACCGCTATTTAAATGCCCCTCCCCATCTTTAAAACATTGATTTGATTCGTGACCCAGCACATAACGATGCCAAACATTCATTCTAAACAGCAATGAGCGAGTTAAAAGCTTCTGGAAACGGGGAAAGAAACCACCATGACGCGATAAAGATCTGAAAAAAATGTATGGTAGTGTTCACATGGATCCCGACACACCTTGTGGTCTTCTTACAAAAGTACAGTTCGAGATCAGACTCGAAGGGGTCGTGAAAATAGGTCCTACATGAACAAGACAACATTTTCTGTTTGTAAAGATGCCGATGGAAAGAAATATATATAAAAAAAATCGTGATGAGCTCACCAAAACTCGACGAGAAAAGGAGAAGGAAGGATACACAGAAATCATGCCAGCTGATGGATCCCCTCTATGCCCCGTGGCTTCCTTTAAAAAATACATTGCAAAACTACGTCCTGATTTGGATCGACTTCGGCAGAGACCTATGGACTCTTTCTCTGATTCATCATCTGTGTGGTATTGTGCCCGCCCAATTGGCAAGGAAACACTCGGAAAGTTTATGACCCACCTAAGTACCAAATGTGCTCTCTCTTAAACTTACTCCAACCATTAAGTTCGTACAACAGGAATCACCATATTGACACGCAATTACTTTTCTCCGGCCCTAATTATGTCACTTACCGGTCACAAGTCGGTCAGCTCATTATCTGTAAACCACCGAGTGTCTGACAATGAAAAGCATGAAATGGGAAGTGATATCACACAAGCAGTCCGTGGAAATAAACAGCTGGTTCCATACGATCACCCAAATCGTGCACAACATGAACCCTCCAATGTAAACATGGCGCCATCAACTTTGACCAACACTTCTGTTGGAGTGACCTCCCCTGACACGCACTTTGATGGACTTGACTTAGATCAGCTGTTCAGCGACTTTCCGGACACTATCACCAATAACAGTACTGTTTCATACAATCTACAGGCAATGATAACCGCTCCAATGTTTGATGGATGCCCCATAGGGAGCATCCAGATTGTTAATGGAAACCTACCCCAAAATAACTAGGACATTTAAAACTGTGGAGAAAACCAAACCTTTCCTGCAAAGAACTCCGATTTAAAAATAATAAAAAGCAGCTAAGAGTGAATTCAGTGTAAACATTATTTAAAATCAGAAATTGTTATTACGATTGATGCACTATATGAATCAGAGTATATACATGTTTCTTTTGTAATTTGTTAATAAATATGTTGATTTGTTTTATTGTTATTTTTCTTTGTTTTTGTTATAAAAGACTCAAAAGGGTAATAAATTCGTTACACGGATTTTTGGCAGGGTATACGGGATGGTATGACCCTACAGGATTTCGTATTTCCTATCGGCCTCAGGAAATAGGAAACCCTTTAGGGTCATACCATCCCGTATACCCTGCGAAAAGTCCGTTTAACTAATAAAATAAGCTTGTGAATATGACTTCAACGACATGGAAAGTGCAAATAGATACATTTCTAACGCTTCTTTAACAAATAAATAATACGATTTCGGCGGCGTTATGTTTAAAACTGCAAGGTAGGCGACTGATGAAGATGGATTTGTAACGTCCCTGTTTTCAAATTTAGGATGTCTATATTTACTGTAAATTAATCTCGTATGGAAATATAAACAAATCAGTCGACGGTGGGGCTCAATTTGTCCCCATCGTTACGTCATAACACGCTGACAAATATCTGATATTTGATGTTTTTACTGTCGATAAAAATTCAAACTAATCTCATGCCGGACATAGAGTGAGGTTCGTACGTCTGGGTCGAGAAATACAAAGGACTAGGGGCTTTAAGGGCCTTATCAGGAATTTATAATTAGTTGTTATATTCGACATCAAAAATAAATGGAGTAGGCATATATTTTCATAATAAAATGTTTGACTTTCGTTTGTTGTGTGCTTTTTGGTTGAAAATTCGCCATTTTGAATGAAATTAATCAAACACCCTTAATATTTGAAAACCTTCGCATGCAGCAAACAAATAGGTATTTAACATGCTTAAGCATTGCCATGCCGGTGTTCATTTGTAAAAAGGTTGTTTGTTTGTCACATGCAGAGGCTTTTATTTCTGCCTGGCAACTGCCTAAAAACACCATATTTTGGATATTTTCTGCTTAGCAACGCAATTTTGTAACTATGGTAGAGCATCTACACATGCGTATTGGGAACAAATTGAACCAAGAAAGAAAGTCCCAATTTACCATTATGATGATTTTATTAGAAAGTTGTTAGTAAATTCAAGTTTCAGATGAGGCCAACAATGACCGACAACGCTCCAAGTCCTTTACGTTGCGTTCCCAGTTTGTATTTCAAGCTACTAATTAGTATCGATTGATAGGCCGGACTTTACCCACTCTGAACAGTGTGTTTCATCCAGAATGCTCCTGTTTTACCCAGTGCATTGTATAATATTCCACGAAACTAGAATAAATGAGTATCTTAATATTCACATTCTGATTGATGGTAGGTGTCTCTCAATACCTTGCCCGCTAAAAAAACCACTCGTAGCTTTTTATTATTTAGATCACCAGTTTACAACTTGTTGGTTGTAGACATACTGAAGTTATTCGACGAACACCTATATACAGTTGTTGCTTATAGTTAAAAATCGTGGGAGCAATTCATTTAGAAGAACCGTAAGAAATAGCAGGGGCTACTATATGTCTTATGCTCGGTGGTTAGCTCCGACATACTTGTGGTGTATAATGAATGTTTATGGAACCTCACCCCTTGTCAACAAAATGCACTTTCATATATTTATAATACACCCAGGCACCGGAGGTTCTGAGTTGTACCCATGTTCAATTCATAGTTTTTGTTCAATAAAGTTAGGTTTTAGTCTTAGCTGCATATGTTAATATTCTAACAAAAACATACCAAACGTATTCAGGTCTCGACAATCATTTTAGACATCTCCAATTCAACATGAGATTGCAAAAAAAAAAATTATATATAACAAGAAAGATGGTGTTGCAAAACTATTCAGTCATGTACTTTTCCCTTTCGCAAAAACACTTGTAGCTTTATAATTAATTATGTTACTAGTTTATTACATGATGGTGTATAAAATGGACATACTGAAGTATCTGAAGTTTACCTATATATCTAAATATAGTGTTAGCAACTGGTTTAGAAAAGTTGTAATAAATAGCCGGGACTCTTATCTATATTATGCTCAGAGGTTAGTTTCGACATACTTGTGGTGTATAATTAATGTTATTGGCATGTTACCCTTGTTTCCAAAATGCAATTTCATATATATTTATAATACGTACAGTTACCAGAGGTTCTGAGATGTACTCAAGTTCAATTTATATTTGTATTTAACAGTGTTTGGATTAATTGCTAGCAGCATAGGTTTTTTTCAAATAAAAAAATCAAACATTTTCAGGTCTCATCGGTTATCTGAGACATCTTCAATTTAAAAACAAAATGTTTTAAAAAGATAAGAAATATTATTACAGTTTATTTTTCAATTTATTTTGAAACGATATTATTACAATGGTCAATTCAAGTTCCTAATTAAGTACTTCCTTTACTAGTTTAGACATTTATTTAATGTTCATCTCGTAATTTTGATAGACAATTTGGTTGGAAATCTCACGAAGACACATTCACCCTCTAACTTGATTTTACAGTGCTGGCATTGGGAGGACTGGTACTTTTATCGGTTTAAATGCGCTGCTTTCTCGTGGCAAGAAAACAGGAAAGGTTGACATCCCCAGGTACATTGGAACCATGAGGAATGGCAGAATGAACATGATCCAGACATGCGTACGTAGTGCCTAAACAAGTAACAGGGTTACATGATACAACGTGTAATTTCTACTGTATTTGGTAACTGACATGTATGAAGTCCTGGCTTTTGAATCATGACTTTGTGATATATTCCATTCTAATTACTCTCCACCACCAGCAATATACTGACACATACATTACTAATGTAATCTATTGTAAAGCTGCGTTTTACTTTTGCAATATATTGAGCTAAGTTACCTTTGTAAAATAAAACGGATATTTCTTAAACAGGTTTGTAGCACTAATACTAATACCGTTCTTTGTGTGCATTACAGGAACAGTACATCGCCTTGCACGAATTACTTGTAGAAGGATTCAATTTACAAGAATCACTCATTTTTCGAGTGAATTTCCCTGCTGTTCTGGCAACAATGTGTCCTACGAATACACCAGCGAATCAGACAAAGATTCATCAGGAATTTAAGGTTTGAATCTGCTTAAAAATCAATAGAACATTTTGTATGGCAAACAGTAAGTAGAATTTGCCTTTAATATGGAATATCTTTCTTTATCAAAGATGCGAATGTTTGATATTTAAGTATAATCACCGATCAATTATACCATCATGACGCTTTTCTCTTCTCCTATTGTGTCTCTTTTGTTGTTGCAGGCGTTAACAGCACTTACTCCAACCTACTCGCCGAGTTGCTTTAAGGCTGCATTACTGGCAGAAAATTTAGAAAAGAACCGGAATAATGACATCCTAGCAGGTATTTCACTGTTGAAATATATTGAAGTGCAAACGTTGTAACTCGCACTGCTTACTATCATTGCCATTGCGATATTGAATGATATAATATGAATGTTGGGGGATTATACTTTTCTTGTCTTGTTTTGTTGTTCAATAGTACGTGTTGGCTCCTTTAAGTGGTACTTGATGCTATTTATAAATATAAAGTGATAAGGACTGGTTTAACCGTTGTCAGTATAATGCCACCAGTTGAATCACTGTGATGTGTACTTCCTGCAAGGTGTTTCAATGAGATACCACTCATCAGCATCGTATCAGCACTATTGCAAATACAGTCATGAAAACATCATTTTCAAAGTTCATTGAAACGTTTTATTACTGAACTTTGTCAGGATTTTAGCGCGGTTGTGCGTTACCACTAGGTTTAAATATGATTCATATGTTTTGACTGAATCATATAACTAATACGATAATGTGTAGCATACATGTTAAACATGTATAATAAACACTGTATTGTTATAGTGCTCCATTATTTGATTTACGACATGAAATCACCTTCGTAGTTCTTGCAAAAAGTCACAACAATAATTGGTAGATTGCTTGGCAGATTTATTTCTATTCATACATTTACATACTCTGAGCTCTGATTGTATCATCGTGTGAATAAGTTGTAGGGTTGTTAATTTTATTTTACTAGATCACCTGGTACATGTAACATGATTGACATTTATTCTGCTTTGTGTTTTCTGAAGCGGACAAGTTCAGACCCTTTCTCCAGTCACAATTACCGAACGTAACAGATTACATCAATGCTGTAATGATTCAGGTAAGTATTGTCCATATCCGTTACATAAGGTTTGACAAACTTTATGACTTATAACACACAGAAGAAGAGATACTTATCGCCCGATTCACATTCATCAACCTTTGGTGGATCAAGGCTGCTGGATCCCACTGCTGGACAATTATTTTGAGGGGGCATTAAAGAAACCGAAGTGATACCTAGTATATCTCACTGCATGTGTATTCCGTTTTTGCGTATTGCAGTGTTATCTGCTCTTGTGAACAGGTATTGATTGTTACTTCATTTGTTTGCGAGAGTAACGTCATCAAACTTTGAGAAAACGACGTAATTTTCTCACACAAACCAATGACGTAACAACTCTGCAATACGCAAAGACGGAATTGGAATATCGCCGTAAGTTGAGCCTTCAGAATCGGAGGTTTTCTAGTAAGAGGATATGGACGAGGTCATCACTGATGTGCTACCCCCTTTGCAACACCTGGGATCGTTTTCTTCCTTAAACGTTTATGTCTACTTTCTTTCTCTATCTAATTCATTTTTCCCAGCGTTGCCTTCTAAGACAACCGTCAGTATGACCCTGGCAATCGCAAGATGTTTAACCCCTAACCTTTGTTGATTTCCGTGTGCTTTATAATGAACTCAGTTAATCCTTTTCTGCAGTCACACACTTCGATGACGGGATATCTGATGACACAGTTTCCTCTAATGGACACCATCGATGACTTCTGGACAATGGTGTTTGACTACAGCTGTGAAAACATCGTCGTGCTCGGAAAACCAACAGAAGTTTGTAATAACTAGCACGTTCCTATACATTAACATACGTATATCATTCATCAATAATCAAAAGGAAGTATAGTTTAATCTGCTCTTTGTTATAAAACGTAATTGGTTTATACCATTATATTGGTTTCTTTGTGATATGAACAAACATACTGAATAATTAACTAAATAAGATGACTTGCTTTACATCAGGTATACCGTATCATGACGTTTCCTTAAGATGGTTTTGTCACATCCATAATATAATCATGTCGTCTTAAAAATCTCAAAAAACATAGAAAGAGGATTGGCTTCTAGAGAAGGGCGGAGACTTTGCTGCAGGAAATGCCATTTCAGTAACAAAAATGCAGGATCGATCTCCAGACACCGAGTTGGATATTGTAGACTACCAAGTTGAAAGGGAGGTAGGTAGTAAATTATGTGAAGATTACCAGCCAGATATTTGTGTGCAGAAACATAAATTCTAACTTTTTTTAGATATGCATTGCTCTTTTCAAAGGAGTGTACTTGGAGAGTATTTAATATCAAACGTTAAATATACTAATTATCACGTTCGTAATGAGATACTTTATGATAATCTTTGATTCTTAAAGAAATGTAATCCAATTTATAAAAAAGCCTAATAGGACTTTTTGTTTATATAATATCATAATGATGTTTCTTTTGCCTAGTGGTTGCTTGTCTAATTGGGTACATAGCTACAGTAATCTTTATATTAAACACTTTGATATTATTCACGCGAATAGTGTACATGGGAATATTTATCTGGACTTATTTTAATATGAATGGATAATATGACAAAAAATACTATCACACAAAACTATCTTGGAAGGCGAAATATCAGACATTTTTTGTTCAAGAGTTATTTCAATGCACTACTGAAAATGTGATCCGAGCATTGATGAGGACTTCTATCAATTGAAATACAAAAGTATATGCAGATAAAGTAAATATGTGGAATACAATCATGTTGTCTACCGACAAGATTTAGAGTACTTAATTGTATGCCATACCTGCTTATATTATATGTATATATATGATAATTTATTGATGAAAAGTGTCATATCATTAGATAATACACCGAATAACATATATATCTTAGTGACCGTGCAAGTCTCGTTAACTAGTTTTATATATTAGATAATCTGCTATGTTGAAGGCCGCTATGAGGTCACGACAACTCCCTAACAAATAAAAAAGATACTGTTAACCAGTAAAGGTAATATATTCAGATTTAGTTTTTTGGATAATAATGAAAATTACTTAGTATATCATAATCTATATATTTATTCTGAAGTAAAAGCAAACGATAAACTGTCAATACATCATAAACACTTAAGGTGATTTGATCGTAACAGTGTGTGTTACTGTATTAAATTTAAGCGGACTATAATTTAAAATCTATTAAGATTTTTTTTTCTTGAACACTTCATTATTTTGTGTCATCTAATATACAGCGATCCGGCAATGAGAGTGAGACTATCAGGATCTTCAGCCTGTCCCAGTGGTCATCGGACTCTTTACTGCCTTCATCTGACTCGTCTCTTCTCCAACTTTTGGAACAGCTAGACAGTCGGCGACGTTCAGACAACACAAGACCTGTTGTTGTCATGTGTCGGTAAGTAAGACGCTGTTCTTTTTACCATAATAGGTGGATGATACCGTCAGTGTTATGACATAACTAAGCAATAATACGCTTATAACGTTGTTTTATTATTAGATCAGTGGTGGGTTGTTCAACTGATAAGCTAAAATCATAGATTGCATTTTGTTTATACTTATATGAAAATATTTTTTGTCAACTACAGGGACGGTTGTACACAAAGTGGACTGTTCTGTTGCATATCAAATATCAGAGATCAAATGAAGATGGACGAGGAGGTGGACATATTCCAAACAGCAAGGCGGTTAAAAAAGCGACGACCAGAGGCGCTAGAAAATGTTGTAAGTTTTGTATAAACTGTAGAATCATTTATTTTTGTGGGGTTACTATTTCGTGGTTTTCATATACTAGCCTTTTTCAAGGGCATTATATTTCACTGATCTCCTATGTTCAACTATCTATATCATACAAAGTTTATGTTTTCGTGTGGATTTAATTTTGTGAATTTTTGTTATTCACGAAATAAACGGAATTTAATGTCCCACGAAAATATATGATTTTACAGTAATCGAAAATGTAATCTTAATCACACAGCTAAGATTTGTCTTAACCATAATAATAATGATGCTTTCAATAACCATATACATGTAACGCCTGATAATCATTATGATCACGTTACTATAAATGCTGTGATAATTAGGTTATATAAAACATTATTCGATTATTTTTAATAGACATACTGATATTATGTTTACGAAATGTCTTCGCTGTTTAAGAAACGAATGTCTTGTAATGTATTTTTTATTGTATTTTAGAAACAATACCAGTACTGTTACAACATTCTGGGGCTATATCTAGATTCAACAGACGTGTACGTCAACTGAACAGAACTCTATCCGTGTATAGTGTTATACGCCAATTGTATATAAATGAGTACATATGTATTGCTACACTAAATATGTTGATTTTGATTGAGTCCCTGCATCTTAAAAGAAGGCTTTCAAATAGTTGCTTCCTCTCTTCGTTGTTTCAGTGATTATCATAAACAACACTCATATAGTGATATCCTTCACGTGTGGATATCATTTTATATACATGTACAGTACCAAAAACTTGTTCATCTTATTGAGCCGAACTAAGGTGATGTAAACGTTCCCAACTACAAGAATATTAATTGAATACAACTCAATATTGATTGTGTCATGACAGTGGAACAACATATTTGTTTAATTTAACAGATTTGCGTTTCAACTGATCAAAGACAATGTGTATTGGATATAATCCTACTTGAAGTAAAGAGCGCGTATCATTCGTCTGAATACAAAACACAATGTGAACAATTACTGTATATGCATCATTTTATTGAGAAGGTGTTTCCTATATAACATTAATAGAATAATTCATTTGACGGTTTACGCACATGACTTTGATTTTCAATTTAGTAGTATTGAATGTCTGTTATATTGATAGGGCATTTATATGTATCTGTGTTTTACTTTAGAATTCCATGTGACATTGTAAATATTTGACAATTCGAATCCCTTTCTCAAGCCGCCCCCCCCATCCACCCCCTCCCCATCTATCTCTTTTTCTCTCCCTGTATTACATAATGATGATGATGATGATGATGATGATGATGATGATGATGTACAAGTCATGAAGGTGTAATATAGAACGTACAGACTATATTTTTACAAATCAACTGCATTAATCAGGCTCCATTAACAGTATAACTTATAAACATTTTAAATGCTGAGTTAAGTGGATACAATATTGACCTGTTTCGTTACAAATTAACTACTGGCCTAACCAAAAACGAGCATAATGAGTAGACCAGAAGCGAGGCAAACAACAGTAAATACGTATCTTTTTCTAATGCCCCGAAACATAGTTATTTGGTTCGATTGTTAACACTGCAGGCTTTTGATATCTTGAAATGAAACTTCTTATTCGAGTTTACCTGATGCAAACATTATGTTTTTCTTTGTACGTACTTATTAAAAAAAAAGACTCTATAGAAATACTTTAAAATACAATGGAAAGATATTTTATATTTTGTACGCAACCGAGGAAAACTATTTTCCTCCATACCTCCCATCGTCAAATTATTTAATCCGCATATTACCTTAACAAGCCAAAATATTTTGTTCGAGTTGCTGCCCTTTTGATACAATGCGATAAAAACCAACAAAGATATCGGTGACGATGAGCATTTTACACTTTATACACTCATCTGAGTATAATTAAAAACAAATATATATTGATATAATATTTATGACATCTCATGTACATATTACGTGTGANGTATCGGTTGGTTTATCCGGTCATGTTCGAGGCAAGACTCAAATGTTTTAACAGCTTTGATGAGATCATCTCAAATATGAAGAGTTTTAGGATTCTTCATCATTAAACGAAACGTTCTCCACCAATTAACATATTTGTATTCCAAAGTTTAAATGCCCCGGAAAATCGCCCTCAAACCATAAATGCAGTAAAAACTTGCAAGCCGTGTTTCAATAAGAAAACTGGATAAATGAACATGTTTAATCATTTCCCCAACGACCTATTTTACAAATATAATTTTATTGATTAATTAACTGCAATTTACCAAATGTACCTATATTCTACAGTTACATATTCATCCAAACTTAACTAGTATATTACTATATTAGCAGTGAGTTTAGTTGTACTGTAATAAATATGTGTTGTACTGTATGTTGTGTAATACTGTAAGTTATGCTGTGATGTACGTTGTGCTTCACTGCATGCTGTGCTGTACTGTGTGGTGTGTTGCCAGGTAAGCAGTGTTTTGCACTAAGTTATGATGTAAAGTATGTTATGTAGTACTGTAAGTTGTGTTAAACTAAATGCTATATTTTACTGTATGTTGTGTTTCACTGTATACTGTACTGTACTGTGTTGCCAGGTAGGACGTTGCAGTAAGTTGTGCTGTAAGTATGTTGTGTTATAATGTAAGTTGTGTTGTAAAGTATGCTGCGTAATACTGTAAGTTGTGCTGTATAGTATGTTGTGTAATACTGTAAGTTGTGCTGTATAGTGTGTTGTGTAATACTGTAAGTTATGTTGTAAAGTATGTTGTGTAATACTATAAGTTGTGCTGCAAAGTATTTTGTGTTTCACTGTATGCTGTGCTGCCCTATGTGATGTGCTGGGTCACATGGATCAAATTTGTAAAACTATTGTAAACACTTTTTGTGAATAACCAAGAACCCTGGGGTAAAGCTGAGATGAAGGGCTACAAACTGTCTTCAAACGACTGACCTTGAATAATAGTTAGGTCACATGGGGTCAAATATAGGAAAAGTACTAAACGACTTCTTCTTTATAACCAAAAGGACCAGGGTGAGGCTATTAGGCCAGAAGCATGCTGGGATGAAATGCTATAAAGTCTGTTAAACTTGATGTCCTTTTTTCCACTTTCAAGGTCACAAATGTCATATGTTTTAATTTTTTGAATCAAACACTTATATTTCTCCTCCAGCTGTATGTTAGTTCACTTTTAAATGTTTTATTAATACCAGGTGAGCGATTCAGGCCAATGGGGCCTCTTACTCGCTATAAGTTGTGCTATATGGTATGCTGCGCTATCCTGTATGCTGAGTTGTACTGTATGCTTTATTTAAGGATTGACCTTCAATTTAACGGCGTATACAGTAGTATGAACGTAGTTGGCAACGAACAATTTATATGGTGCTCGCTGGCGCTCCATAAATAATATGTTCTTTGCCAACTGCATGCAATTTGGGTGACAGATACATAGAATGTCGCCCGGAGGGCGACATGAATATTTATATGTCACTCAAATTGCATTCATATCGACTGTATACTGCATCTGGTAACAGTTCAATGCTTATATTTACATTTATATAGTTTGTTTTGTATAGTAACTGAAGCAAAATACGTTTTAATTTCCCGCTATTCATATCAGTAACGTCAGTAAGTTCAAATTCAAGAACATCCGAACTTTCAATAAAAAATAATATAGTCCCTGGTGTCATTGCAAACCACACGCGCATAAAATGGTTTGGCCACGAACTTAACTTTATTATTTATTTCATGTGAGTGTGTATATGTTGAAAAATTGTTAATAATGCATAACTTCTGCTTGTTTAAAATCAAAGCTGTTTTTGCGCAATGATATGTTACATGTATTTGGAAGTGATGCGGCGCTGAACGGACTGTATTGTATCCTCAGAAACGCTTATGTTTACATCGACTGGGATATTACGTTATTTTCAGCAGCATATACATTCGAACATTTTTAATTAAAGTGGTCGTTTCAGTAGGTAATAACGATTCTAAGGACATTTCGTTTGAAACAGATTTCATGTCTAATCGGTCAGATTAGCATCGCTAACAGATGGCGTTCACAGGGGTTCTGTTTCGTAAAATTGAAGGATGGATGACATCACTGAAGAACGACAACATTCTAAAACCTTGTCGATACCGTCTACTTTACAAGGTTTTATAAATGCTGCATTTTAGTGTTGTTATTATTTACTGATGGTATGCATAACTCAAAATCTCGAAACCGAACCCCTGTGTGATGACGTTGACAAACTCGGTAATTTTGTATCTAGAATGTCGCTTACAATAATTTGGTGGTACCTACACATTTTATAATAAATGCATATTATCATAATTTGTCAAGTTACTTTTTTTTTTTTTTTGCGATGACCTACATTGCGAAATGCTAACGAACCCAGAAAGTTATCTGACTATAGGCCTATTGATACCGAAAGTAGCTGGTGGTCATGTATGTTCCTACACTGACCGAATCACTGTTAATGGCAGTATACAGTCTCATATACTGGAATTTGGTTTACTAACGACATATAGGCAAATGCAACACAGAATGTAAATAAACGTCCTTCAGGTGTTGCAGTATGGTAAATTTAAATCATGGGAAAACCCAAGTATACCACGTACCCTTAGCGACAACAAAACAACAAGGCTTACTAATGGGCATGACACAATGGAATTTGATTATCGCACAAAACAATGGGGACCATAGAACAATTTTTGTCATCAATCTACATCTTTAAATATTTGCTCGGTACATACAGTGGATTGATTATGTATTATTTCTCCCACAGTTCAAAGACGCATTCCTATTTTTGCTATGGAGAAGATCAACCCGTTCTCATACGAGAAAGGGCAGCCCACTCGCGGCATTACCCTGAAAACGTCACCACCACGTCATAGATGTATGCACCGTTATTCTGGTAACATCATCAATCCTTCATGTGTTCGGGTATGGTAAATGTCAATCCAGGTAAAACTAAGTAACACCCACGCCCTTATATCGATAACAAAACAACAATATTTACTTATAGGCATAATGAAACAATAGATCTTGCTATCACAAAAAAACAATATGCATATTTTTCTGTCAAAATCGTAATGGGGATCATAGAACAATTTTCGTCATCAACCTATATCTTTTGAAGTCCTGTGTTGTAAGTTTTGTACGTAAGCCGTTATAACGACAGTGCAGAACGTATACCGGAACAACAACTGCTACATGTAAACACCACAGGGTTCGGAAGCAGCTACGTAAGTGTTAAGACCAGTAAGGTTTATCTTATAACTTAGTCGGATGCCGACGCTGTAGACCATGATGTAACATAAGAACGGGAATGATGATTTTGTAAAGACAACACATTGCCATTATATCTGATTGTTTTACTAGTCCTGAGACGTTCTTCAATAAATTTAGCCTAAAAAGGTAACAGCAACGAGTCGACCAGAAGTGAGTAACGGGTCATTGTCAAAGAATTGCATGTACTCTATTCTAAGATTTTGCCACCGAACTCAACAACGACATTATCAACCAAAAACTTTAACATTCTCACAATTTCAACCTCGGCATATTTTCCCCCAATAATATATCTCAAATGTTATTCTCAGTCCGATTTTTAGCCGCATGACCTTCTTCTTGGACAAAATTCGACGTCCAACTGTCCTAATCTAAGAGTCGATATAACTTTCCTTCCTTGTGTACCCGCTGTAGTACCGCCACTCTAACAGCATCGTCTAAATGGTCAAAGCATCGTATCTTTATTGGCAGAAAACAATAGATAGGCTATTTGTACATTATACCAAAACCATTTAATGTGTGTCAATCCATCCTTATTCTTTATATATATGCAATACGAAGCATACAATTGGTTCAAAACTAAAATGGATGCCCTTTATTGAGCACGCAGAACCGCCAGTTAAACTTGTTACCTGCCAGAAAGGTTCCCCCTATTCAGATCACAAAACAACATGGCAGTGCATATACGTGCTTAGCAAGGCATGATTAATATTTACTTTCTAACCATTGCATTTCTTTTTGACAGATAATTTGAAATAATAAATGCTTTGGAAGACATTACGCCGAATATCAAATATTATTAATTTACTCTTATTTCAATAAAAAAGGGGAAACTCATTACTTTCTAACATATACAAACTGTTAAATTATTTGCCCGTCAGTCTCATAAATAAACAAAAAATGATCGGAAGGTTATACAATCGATCCTTATCCAGGGCAGTATATGTCATTATTCTATCTTCAATAATATCGATAACATAAATTGCTATGTGTTTATAACGTTGACGTTAGTTTGACTCAGGAAATCAATATATCTAGGTTACAATTAGATGTGGACTATGAAATAACTGTTATATAGATATTTCGTTGAAATATTTCCCGAGAATATTTCGAGGTACTTATATACCGCTTCATCACAAGTTATTATCCGTGGTTATAGTGGCTTTGCAACCAGCCTATACATGTATCAACTCCCTGTGGAGCGTACAGCCGGTGCTGCAATTTCCACGCTACATTGTAACAGCTAGCATTCAACAATTCAAGCACTGCCCATTAACGCACTCGTTTACAGCTGAGTAGACTGGAACAAGCGGAGTAAATTATCTTGCTCAAAGATACAGCACAGTGCCGTGCCGTGTCTCGAACCCGAAACCATTCGGTCACGAGCTCGGCGTCCTACCACTAGACTATCGTGCCTCCTTACATTAGCCTGTGTTAGTTTCTGAGTGAGATGGATATTTGAGAACTGTAAAGTAATATACTCCCATCGAATATATAGCATTAAGTCTGAATGAGTCTCTGATGACATTGTTTAAAAGAAGTTAAAGAAAAAATGAGTAAGTCGTGATTACATGCACCTACTGAAGAAGGTAAGCTATTCCATCACTGTTATCATCAATCATTAACTTGTCATACTTTACTATGACTATTGTGAATTT